CCTGCCGACACAGCCAGGTTTTAACGGCTTTTCGGAAGGCCTGGAGAGAGGTGAGGGTCCAAATCTCTGCGGGGAACTCGTTCCAATTAGCCTGCAATACTGCAATCAAACCACTGGGAGGGAGGGAGGGGGGAAAGAAGGAAGGAAGGGAATGAAAAGGAAGGAAGGAAAATTGCAAGAGCAGATTTATATACCTCTTCACAGTGCTTTAAGAGTTTTACAGAGTCAGCACATTGCCCCCAACAATCTGGGTCCTTGTTTTACAACCTGGAGCCTGTCAGGATTGAACTTATGGTAGTTGGCAGAATTAGCCTACAATACTGCAATCAAACCACTTGGAGGGAGGGAGGGGAAAAGAAGGAAGAAAGGAAATGAAAAGGAAGGAAGGAAGGAAGGAAGGAAGGAAGGAAGGAAGGAAGGAAAATTGCAATAGCAGATGTATATGCTGCTTCACAGTGCTTTACAGCCCTCTATAAGCGGTTTTACAGATTCAGCCTCTGGCCCCCAACAATCTGGGTCCTCATTTTACCGACCTGGGAAGGCCGAGTCAACCTTGAGCCCCTCAGGATCGAACGGCTGGCAATCAGCAGTCAGCTTGCAATTCCGCATTGAATTTGACAGTCCTGCCTTACATTTTCTCCCTGCAGACGTCACCCATCGAAGTGTTATGCACAAGCCACCCTGGCATGGGGCGAGGGTTGCAGCACAGGGAACCTCCCCTCCTTCCTGGCCAGCTAACTAATCTCCCTGCTCTCTTCTTCCTCTACTCTACAGCGTCATCATGACCGGGGCCTACAACAATTTTTTCCGAATGTTCGACCGAAACACGAAGCGCGACGTGACGTTGGAGGCCTCCCGCGAGAACAGCAAGCCTCGGGCGATCCTGAAACCTCGCCGTGTTTGTGCTGGGGGCAAGCGGCGGAAAGACGATATCAGCGCCGACAGCCTGGACTTCACCCAAAAAATTTTGCACACCGCCTGGCACCCCACGGAGAACATCATTGCTATTGCGGCCACAAACAATCTGTATATCTTTCAAGACAAAATGAACATGGAAGTGCATTAGGTCCCACTGGAGAGAGAGAGAGAGAAAGAGAGAGAGAGAGAGAGAGAGANCCTCCCTCCCTTTCTTTTTCCTCCCTCCCTCCCTCCCTCTCCTTCCTTCTTCCCTCCCTCCCCTTCTGTCCTCCCTCCCTTTCTTTTTCCTCCCTTTCTTCCTCCCTCTTTCCTTCTTTCCTTCCTTCCTCCCCTTCCATCCTCCCTCCCTTTCTTTTTCCTCCCTTCCTCCCTTTCTCTTCTCCCTCCCTCCTCCCTCCCTTCCTCTCATTCCTTCTCCAGTTTTTGAAGAACCAGAAGATCCCAGCAGCCGCTCCTTTTTCTCGGAAATCATTTCTTCGGTGTCAGATGTGAAATTCAGCCACAGCGGGCGCTACCTGCTAGCGAGGGATTACCTCACTGTCAAAGTTTGGGATCTGAATATGGAAACAAAGCCTATAGAAATATATCAGGTATTTTCCCCCCGTGTCTTTTTACGCGCCATGCCATGAGAGTGATGGGAGTGGCTATGGGTTACTGCGTCGTTGTGCCAAAGAGATCTGGCGACATAAGAATTGTTCTGTCCCAGAGGGGTTGGGATGGGGGCTGCTTTCCCCCCCCCCCCCGCTGAAGCCCACCTACTCCATTGTTGACAATGAACCTTTGACTGGACTGAAGCAAGAGAAGACCAGTAGTTCCCCCTCCCTCTTTCTCTCCCTCTCTCCTCTCTCCCTTTCCCTCTCTCTCCCTCTCCTCTTTCCCTCTCTCCGTTTTCCTTCCCCTCTCTTCTCTCCCTTTCCCTCTCCCCCTCCCTCTTTCCCTCTCCCTTCCTTTCTTGCCCTCCCTCCCTCCTTCCTCTCTTCTCTTTCCCTCTCTCCCTTTTCCTTCATCTCCCGCTCTCTTCTCTCTTTCCCTCTCCATTTCCCTCCCCTTTCCCTCTCTCCTTCCCTCTCTCCCTTTCCCTCTCCCTCTTTCTCTCTCTCCTCTTTCCTCTCTCCCTTTTCCTTCCTTTCTCTCCTTCTCTCCTCTCCCTTTCCCCCTCCCTTTCCCTCCCCTCCCTCTCTCCCTCTCTCCTCTTTCTCTCTCCCTTTTCCTTCCTCTCTCCCTCTCTCTTCTCTCCCTTTCCCTCTCCCTTTCCCTCCCCTCCCTCTTTCTTTATCTATCTATCTATCTATCTATCTATCTATCTATCTATCTATCTATCTATCTATCTATCTATCTATCTATCTATCTAT